TATTGGTAATAAAAACTGTTATACTTGACAATTTTTGGGTCCATTAGGAAAAAGATTAATAGTAATTCTAAAGTTCTTCAAGTTATTTTTTCCTTAGTAATAAGAATAGTGGCAATGTTCCTTTATGCTAAGGATAAAATATTTTTGCCTGATAAACCAAAATAACAAAAAAATATTTTTTACAAAAATGTTTTGTCAGATCCTTCGGGCTATGAATGACAAATTCTTTTTTTTCATTAATTTTTGGTTCCATAATTTTTGTAAAATCCTCTACAAAGCGATAACTTGATACGACAATTTTTTAATTTTTTCTGCAAGTAAATAAAGAAGAATCTTCTTTTTTTCTCTTTTCTGAATCCCGTAATATAAAATCTGTACATAACGAAACATTGCAAAACAAAATTTTTTGCAGGTCTAAAAGAGCTTTATTTTTGTGGTCAGCAGATCAAACTTTAATTAAGTACTTTTTAAAATCATACGAAATTTCATTTTTTTTAAACGTTTCCTAATCCAAATTATATGAAAAAAAAACAAAAAAAACAAAAAAAACAAAAAAAAAAAAAACATGAAATTAAAAAGTTTAAAGATTAAAATCATTGTAAAATATTTTTGTTGTTAAAAAGATAACATGACCAAAAAATCAAGCTTAAAAATTGTCTAGTTAGAAATCATGATCAACTAAGCTATTTAAACTGTAGTTTCTTAAAAAGTACCATGACACATTTTTTTATGAATTTTTCAACTGTCAGAAGATTTTTTTTTTCACTTTATTTAACATTAGTTTAAAGTAAAATTTTTTTCGATCCTTAGTAATATAATGTGTATTCTACAAACAGTAAAATTTTTGTACTTACTACCAACTAAGACGACTCTTAAACTGGTCGTTATACACGTTATGCTCTCTTATATAAACATATTGTATAATGTTAGCAAAATAACAATTTTTGTCCAAATCGAACCATAATGTTAATGCTTTTGCAATGAGAAATGGCTTTACCAACATTGTTTTCATAAAAATACTTTTTTCAACTAATTTTTAATGTTTACTCATATATAGTATAATGTGTGGCTTTGTTCCTTAAGAAGAAACTGCTGAATTATCATAAAGTCTCCATAAAAGTGAAATAAATACCATCGATACATTGAGGAAGTTAATCATTATTTGATTCACAACAAATTTGACGTATTGATTAGGGCTGGAGGAAAGCCGTTAGCAGAGTGTAAAAAAACGGACATTTTTATATAAAAAATAAAACTGAGCTAACTGTAATATAATGAGAAAACTTTTTTAGAGATGAAAACAACATTCAGAAAAAAAAAGAAGAAAAAAAAAAAGAAAAAGCATATCCAGGCTAATTTCATTGAAAAAATAAAACAACTAAGTCGAATTATTATTAAAAAAAAAAAAAACAATAAATAATGAACGATTATAATTAAACAGGGGTAACAATGGCACGAAACTATATATTTAATGGTTATTTTTCGAAAAATGAGTCACATAAATTCTATGATTCTATATCAGTGTACAATATAGTTTATGAACTGACAGATCCAAAATCCATCAAGAAATTATAAAAATTTATAATAGTGGTAACAAAATGAAAACATGAAAAAAATAAAAATTTCACAATGTTTTCGGATACGCTAAAAAATTTTTAAGGTTGATGGTGAAAAACTTATCGTCAGATTTAAGGAAACTCTAGATGATCGTTACGAAATGGCTTTAATTAACAGATTGAAAAAAAAAATTGCATTAAAAGGTAAAAAGTTACAATTAACTGCTTGTAAGACTGTATTTGGCTATACAGTGAATATTTTCTACCGTAGCATTGATATCAGGCGGTGATTTCCTCACAGGACACCAACATACATTTTTTATATGCAGCGACAATAGTTTCTTCCTCACGGGTTATTAAGAAACTTGATTAACTGAAATCGTTTCATCGGAAAATAAAAAAAACAATCTCGTATTTGCTACGCACAAAATAAATAGAAAATCTACTAGCCATCACAACAATCATATTAGATGTACAAGCATAAATTTAAGACCTCCTTTCCTATTCTCGTAAAAAAATCTACTATTGCTCTATTTTGTTATTAGAAACATTATCAGACAATATTATTACCATCAAACAATTAAAGACTTGTTAGCCTTATTTTCATGGAGCACATATAACAAAAAAAAAAGCTATTAAAGAAAATGTAAAAAGAAAAGAAAAATATTAAACTTTTTTTTATTATGTAAATAGTTTTCTGGGTTATTGATTAGGTTATCATGAGTCTTATTTTTTAATTAATTCTATACAGATCAACGAACAGGATTACTGCGGTTAAAGATTTAACAAAAGATGATTTAATTTTGTTCTTCAACACGTGGAAATTAGAAGTAATGATGAAATTCGACTCCACTGGAGTTCTGTTTGTAAATCGACACTTTTATTTAAAATATCTTAAGATTTTTTCAGGAGTGATATTGAAGAAATTTATTATCAAAAAAAGGTAAAGTTGTCTTGGTGAATTTTTCACATAAATTATAGGAAATTGATGATGTATTTACATTTTTTTGTATTTTTTTGTCTTATAATGTGCTGCACATTGCTAGTAATTTTCTATTATTTTTCAAAACGAAACTTTGCAATCATTATTAACTGCTACTTACAAATCATGAGGTACCAAATTAAAGCGAAACTGTTCGTTCCTTTTATACAGACGTTAGGTTTTAAAAGTTTTTTTATCCTCTTTACATGTACGCTAACTTGTAGGTACGAGAAAACGAGACTCTTTCATATTCACGTAATTGCTCTAGTAAAGAAGATTACTTTTAGAAAAATACATCTAATAAAATATATATTATTCTATTGAATAAGATTTTTTAAGCATAAAGGTAATTAGATATATGGTTACTAGTAAAAAAAGATTTTCCTGTAATAATATTTTGTATGCATATTGTAAAGCCATCAACGTGCATAGGAAATGTGTAAAAAAAATTGTTTTCTTCTTTTATGTACATCAAACAAACTAGTAAAAAAAAGTATTATATACTAAGAAACATGTCTCTAAGCTAACACAACGCTATTAAAATTACAATAAATATTAACTCCAAAATATAAGCAAAAAGACATGTGTAGCTGACTCGTAATGTAGATGTGTACAGGACATAAGTTGATCTTGAAAAACTCCCGCAGCACAAGTGATTCTAAAAATTACATCTTCTAGTCCTTACATTAACTTTATAAATTTACAAGTTTTGTGTACGTTCTGACACAATGATGCATTATTTGTTTAAATTTAGTATTGTCGTAAATCAGATTTTACAAGGCCATGAAATAAATAACACTGAGAGCCTGGCAAGAAATTTTTCAGCAAACCAATAAAATTTGCTGATTCTTTAGAAATCGACAAAACATTGGTTTCTAATGTAGTAATTATACTTTTACTGTTTAAGTGTAAAAAAATTAAGACTTTGATACATTGAATAAATTCTGTCGGAAAACCCATAGATTATACTGCAATTGTATCTGTAAACTAGGATCATCCTAAATATTTGTAAACATTTGGCTTATGAAATCGCAGTAGCCAGAGAATTCTGTTTGCCCTAATCTTATGATACGGAATATGTTCAAGAGACGAGTTACAAAAAATTAAGGGAAAAATTTATCCATCATAAACTACAGAATAGCAAAGTAACCTGGCTCAATGATACCTTTTATGGAGCTTTTTTTAAAAGTGATCCTGTTGCTATATACTGATATTTGTTTGAAAACAAATTAGGAAATATCAAAACTGATAAAATTAACACATTTATTGTGGCTCAGTTAGTATATACAAATAAATGGAAATGGCACAAAACTAACATTAAATTAATAAAATAATTTTATTTGTAGGGATGATACAGGTGCAAAAAACGGAAAGTATGAACACAGTAATAAAGATGGTCATGAAGGCAGTGCAAAATAAATTTATTTCGATAAAACAGAAAAAAAAAAAAAAAAAAAAAAAAAAAAAGGATAATAATAATGATGTATGGTAATACTGTAACTCAGTAGGTCTTTCGCAAGTTATGCTTGCACGCACGCAGTTGTAAGATCTTACAAGATTGACTGAAACGCAAGTTCTGATCCTACACGACAACACTTGTAGCAATTATGATAATGAGGCAGCAGATTTTAACATCAGAACCTAGTCGATGGTCTTTTCTTTATTGTTCGTCTTTAATTCACTTTTTAAGTAAGTATACAGTGGCCTGTATTGCTCAAGCTTTTCTTACATATCCTAGATATCGAACTAAGTCTTACATTTGTCTGAAATGCATGCTCCTAACATGCAGCCTAATTACCGAATTAAGTCTTATATTCGTATAAAAGACGCAACAGAATTCACTCTCTCATCTTTATAGTTACTTTGGATCACTTGATGAAAGAAGAAGGCGAATATTAGTATGTGCAAGAAGTTTTTATACACTTCTATTTAAAGAGAACACGTTAGGTTGGAAATATAAACGATCACTTGCAGCTTAACCTAATAACTCTCGATTGACAAATGCATAATCGTGATGCAATAATTATGCAGAAGTTAATGTTTAAGAACTATGATCTTACACGTTGATGTCAAAATTGTGTACCATATTTGTTGTGGGTCATACGCAGTAATAAATGTTAAATTTATTGATCGTTTGCATTTTTGTGTATTTTAATGTGAGTTAAAATTGTAAAATAAGCGCTTATAAGATTGTTTGGAGGTTGCGCGCGTAGTTCAAGTTTTCCAAGTTTTCTGCTGGTAGCTCGATTCAAAAAAAGTAAGTCATATGTCATACGATTACAGAAGCAGGTATACAGCTTGATGTTTGAAGATCGCTGAGTAATCACGTTTTATAATTTTAGAACGGAACTATATGTTTCGAAGTAATAAACAGTAAGCATAAGACATGGGATGTTACAAGCTTATGTAAAAATTTAATTGAAAAAGTGTATTCAACATATATTTGTGTATTTGTTACTAACCTTCTTCCATATCCTGGTCATGAGTAGTACAAGATAGTTCATATTCACCGTTCAGTGGTTTGGTTTCAGATCCTTCTAAATTGTTTACAATTTCTAAAAAAAAATATCAATGTACATAAATTGGCATTTATCAAGTATATACTCAATCAAAAAATACTTGGGGCAAAGTAACAAAAAGGTATACAAAGTGTATTCAAATTTTTAAATGTATTTGTCAAATAAGTACGTAACATGTACTATATGTCATTTTTATGAATGAAGATTGTAGGAATGCGATATGTTTTGGACAAAAAGTAATATTGCACCCTTTTGCACTCCTGCAAAACTTGTTGGGCGTTGCTGGTAAAAATATAATCTGCCACTTCCAAAAAAAAGGCTGCCCATAGCTGGGTCTTTTATAACACAATCGTATTTCAATCTATCCTACAAAAACGCACATGTATGTGCAACAATGTGTGTGTGTGTGTAGTATGTATATACACACAATACATTTACAATATATCCATATTGATGTATAGTGAGCGATGTAGGCACAGTACTTTCGAGTAGCAATCCGATTACCGTAAAATTTTAAAATACAGAAAACAATTTATCGCATACATAAAAGAAAAACTATTTTTTTTCAAGTAAATTGCAATTGTATATAAGAGTATAATTCAAATTATAATAACTTTCTTAGACAACTGCCATCCTGATTTTTTGCATGGTATAATGAAAAGAGAATTTTTTGAAGCTGTCAAGCACAATTTACACGCCCATGTATCTGAAGTGTATTTGATTATTGATAACTTGATCTCCAGTGAGCTAAAATCATTGTACATTTCATCAGATGCCCACAAAAGTACTGTTAGGAAATTTTTATGTCAGATTAGAGAAAGGCGGAGTAAATGTATCAGAACGACATTAAGATTCTTGAAAAATAATAGAGAATGGTTGGATGTACCTATTGTACTACAAGGAATAAAAGAGAAAAATATAAAAAAAGTACAGGCAGACCCTCTTGCAGTTTTGCATCTTCCTTTAATCGATGTAAGTGTCGAAAAACATAAATACTACGAGGAGCTTGCTTGTGCGGCTAAATAAAATCAGGTGCTGAGGAAAAGACAGGTGCTGCAAATTTTTAAAAATCCGTTGCACTTGAGAAAAACTATCCAGAATTATTAATAATGCATGAACATCGATAGTTATATATACAATTATTATCAATATGAGAAAAATCATACATCAATACTGGATAATACCAGAAACAACACCTAAGACGTTAGAAAAAAATTGTCTACAGAAAAAAAATAACCTGCATAAAAAGACAAAAAAAACGTTATCGAATTTTAAAATAAAATGTAAATTTTAGAATTTTGTTACACGTTATATTATTACATAAATATCATAAGACACCTAGAAAGATACACAAAAATTCTTCTTTTTCATATTTCGATAGTCTTTGTCATCTGATCTGTTAAGGAGTTTCATTTTTTCACAATTTTTAAATTACATCAAAGTTAGAATCCATGGTAAAACAAGATTCAAAGAGTTTACAGATGCAATATCAGGGCATGTTGCTTATTGAATTGAATAGCAACTTATATACAATTTATAATTTTTACCTAGATCTGAAACAGCATTTTGCACTATGTACCCAAAGTTGTAGATTTTTCAAAAAAATTATGCGCTACACGTGACATGAATAAAGTTGAACAGCTTAAATAATTAACTTAATAACAAGATTTTGTTAGTTAGACGTTGGACGTTTTGTACTCGGGAGGGCGAGAGCTTAAATAGAATCCACGGCTTCAAATCGGCAGTGCTTTAAAAAATACTGTATTTTGGAAGGTACGGGACTGATATAAGTTTTTTTTTAATAAGTGGGGTACCTTGCAAAAGTAACAACAGCTAGCCTATTCTCCCAATACTATAAATACTAAACAAGTCAAATTTCCTTCGTTAAATGGAAGCTTCGTAACAGATACAACATCGCATATCAATCTCTTAAACTGTTCTCAATGATCTGTATGATGTTTTGTAGTACGTTATTACAACATAATTTCATACCGAATAGTTCGTAGTAGAGTGTTTTCATACTTTAGCAGAATACAATATACTGCTACATATAAGTATCTCGGAAAATTATCAGAAACAATTTGGTAATACATATTTTATATTAAGTGTAAAATACCGTAAAAATTGTTTTATTGTAACATTGACATATTATCGTATTTATAATACTTTTCTCTACCGTGAAAAACCATCGTTACTTATAATTTCAGACTTATAACGTCATTCTGTAAAATTTTTTAAATTTCAGACTATCGTTAGCCTCTCCTCTGTTGAGTTTTATCAAGTATATACTATCTCTTAGTGACAACTACGCTAATAACGCTAAGAAACCAATATCTTTCCTCACAACAGCCACACTATTAATGGGTGTTGACAACTAAACGGTTGTTTTTACTATCAGAAAATCTGTATCTTTCTCTGCAACTACCATTATAATTACAATTTTATGAAACTTAGCACATAAAAAACTTATTAGACGTTAGTTGTAACTTTTGTTGGCTAGCTGAAAATTTATCTTGCGAAATTGATATTCGAGTGGGTACTTTTAGGTTGATTTCGCGACTACCTACTCGTTGCATTTTGCGAAATCTCTTAGCGCTTTTATAAGAGAGCGTTGTTAACGCAGTTGTCACCGAAAGACAGTATATACTTGATAAACCAAATAAAAGAGGGGCTACTATGTGAATGTCAAACAGAGACATTTTTTTGCAGAAAACTTTAAGTCAGTATACTTTATTTTTCCATGCGTTTACAGGTTTTGATACCACTTCTTGTTTTAACAAGCCAGGAAAGACTAAAATTATTAGGATATTACAGAATGACGGCATTACCGAATTGATTAATGTATTTTTGATGAGCATGCTGCAAAAAAAATCATCGTAAAACTCAGCATCAAAATGACGAAAATGTTCTATGCTTTTAACGAGAGACAAGTCGTTGGACGAGCTTTCATATGTATTTTTTGAGAAGCTAACTTTTAAAAATTAGTGCAACCGGCAATTTTTACAACTCACGAAAGGTGCTGTAAAATGACATTCGCTTTGAACATACTTGTAAATACAGCTAAGGCACGGAAAGACAAAAGTCGCCACTAAGTATGGATGGAAAAGGTCAAAAGGCCTCGAGCCAGTTATGACGTAAGAGCCTTTGTCATTTTCTCGATGTCATAGTAAGCATAAGCTGTCAGTGGAAAACGGGATGCACACCAAAAACGTATACGTGCAGGAAGCATGGCATAACATGCACCACTTTTCGTACCAGTTGATATGGTTAGAGCTGTTCGAATGTTGACAAGTTTGGGATGGTTGACAATGATAATACAAATGCGCAAGACGGCAACGAAGTATTGGATCCAACGATTAAATACAGTTTTAGCACTTCTGTTTTGTTCAAGAGCAATGTCACGTTGTATACGAAAGACAGACTGCGAGAAGGCAATAGCGAATGATAAATAGTCTGAAATTAAAAAAAACATTACAAAATGACGTTATAAGTCTGAAATTATAAGTAACGATGGTTTTCTGTAGAGAAAAGTATTATAAATACGATAATATGTCAATGTTACAATAAAACAATTTTTACGGTATTGCACACTTAATATATAATATGTATTATCAACTTGTTTCGAATGATTTTACAAGATACTTATCTGTAACAGTATGTTGTATTCTGCTAAAGTATGAAAATACTCTACTACAAACTATTCGGTATGAAATTATTTTCTAATAACGTACTACAAAACATCATACAGATCTACGAAAACAGTTCAACAGATTGATATGCGATATTGTATCTGTTGCGAAGTTTCCGTATAACGAAGGAAATTTCACTTCATGGCGCTTGATGGCATATTTATTGTATTGGGGTAACAGGATAGCTGTTGATACTTTTGCGAGGTACCCAACTTAAAAAAAAAAAACAAAACAAAACCCATATCAGTCCCGTACTTTCAAAAATACAGTATTTTTTTTATAGCATGGCCGATATGTGAAGACGCGGATTCTATTCAAGCTCTCACCCACCCGAATCTGGCTGGAGGAGCAGCATGACTTCCTCACCATGCATTCTTTTCCCTTCGCTTACTCGCCTCAGACCCATAGCAGCAAAAATGCCCTATTTCACAACGCGTTTTTCGAGGGCTAGGCGGTATTATGAGTATTTCAAATGATAATTATGTAGTAGAAAAACATTTGCAGAAGACATATCGTTCTGGAAGATTAAACTTGGACCATTTTTGGCGATTTCTCCATTTTCGCAAAACATCTTTTTGTACATTTTTACAAATTGTGGCAAAACTTTAAAAAAATTGTTTACAAAATTTTTATGAGAGCTAGAGGTATTACAAATACCTAAAATTTAAGCCCTGAAAAAAGGGTTTAATGTCCAGGATCATTAGAAGCCCAGTAATTAAAATTCCAAAAATGGTCATTTTTGGCGGTTTTAATTTTTTAGTGAGGAAAGTTGTGGATTGATTTGAAGTCAAACAAACTTTTTTTTTTTTTTGGAAGCGCTATTTCTGACTTTACTTCTGTTCCTGACAAGAAATTAATTTTTTTCATTAAAAAAGAGCAAAATAGTAGTTTTCCTACGAGTTTGAAAAGTCTTTGTTTTCAAACCGAGAGGTTTGCGGCCCGAGCCGAAGGCGAGGTCCATAACGAGGTTCGTAAAGGAGACTTTTCGAACGAGTTCTGGATAACTGCTTTTTTGCCCGAGGAAGTACCAGCCTCCCAAAACCACCCGAGGGCGGAAAAACTTATTTTCCGGACCTTTTTGACGTTTTTTTATATGGATTCCGGAAAAATTTGCTTCCCAAAAACGTACTGAGCTATTCCAGCTATTTTTGCTATAATCGTCCCGTATAAAAAGTGAACGAAGAATTCTCTTAAAATATTTGGGGTCGAATACTACTTTTATAATAAGCCTTCTAAAGAAATAAACACATCGTCATAAGTTTGAACTATCTTTTTCTTACAATTTTTTCTCATTTAAATTGTATAAAAATGTATTATTTAAAATGTAAATAAGACACGGAATATTCT